AACATGAACTCATTTTAAAATCCCCACCACGGTTGTTAAGCACTAGAGTTGAATTCTTTTAATCTATCATTCATAAACATTGATTGACTAACAACTTTTTATTCATTTTCATGTTTGTTTTTCCATTATATGTATATTATTTTCAAAACATTTTTATTATTATAATGATTCCATTATATTTGTTGAATTGATTTTATTTTCTCGCTTTTTTTATTTTGTGTGTTAAATTTTTATTTAATACCATTAAGAATTGGTTACACTTGAGTACTTAAGTGTATTTTATTTTGTTTGACAAATTTGTTTTATTTTTTTCTATACTAATAAAAACCAACAATAATAAAAAAAAAATAAATATAAAAACATTCACACAACATGCCGCCACACACTGAGTTTATTTTTTTCACATTCCACATACATAATATATTTGAATACAGGGGTGGCACAGTGAAATAAGTACAAAGTAAAATATTAAGAAATAATTTTGAAATTATATTATAAACATATTTTACTAATTATATATTTGTTTTACAAAATGTATAGTTAAAATAATATTTCTTTGTCCTCTTTATCTGACCATCACCTGTAAATGCTTTTAGGTGTTGTTATTATGGCTTGAACATAGACATTAGATGTTTGCCCTTTTTACAAATATGTGTATTTTTTCTATATTATTTCTTCGTTTTTCCAATTGTATTTAGATGTTTTGTAAAAAAAAAAAAGAAAAACAAATCTTTAAATCGGATTTGTAATGTTTATATGTATTTAAGTTCAAAAAAGGTATTAATATTTTAAAATACCTTTAGCTTATGTTATTTTCTTTTCTTATTTTTCTACGCACTTGACATATTGAATTTCTTTTTGCATTTTTTTTTTTTCGGTTTATTTTAATAGAAATTAACTTTACTATGATCAATTGACTTTTTAAATTTGCATATGTCAAAACCTGTTAAAGAAATTTGTGTTCTAATTTTCACAATAACATTTAAATTAGATTACAATTATTTGAATTCCTTCAAAATAAACGTAATTTTTTATGACACCCTGTATTTATTTATAATTTTTTGGTTTCAGGAAATAATTGTCAAAGTCAACTTTGTATTGCAAGTAGATATTTTGCTTATGTGTTGTACATATTTTCAAAATAATTGTTATTCATACGTAACGACTATATAATAATAATAATAATAATTCCTTACGGCATTGTTTACTTGTATACGAGTCATTTAAAAACCATAATTATTTGCAGATGTCAACTCAAGTAGAACTTGTAATACACCTTAAATTGACAGGCATTTAAAGAAATTACTTCACTTTTAAAGTAACTAAACAAAACATAGTCACTTAAATGAATACACTTAAAGGAATTTTGATTACATTTGAAATGTCAATTCCTAAAGAATTTTTTTATTTAAATAAATTAAAAACCTTTCGAGATAAAAGCATTTAGTTGCACTGTAGTTCAGTTCCATTGCTGTTCTAGTTCAGTTCAAATTCAGTTCTAGTTCCGTTCTATTGCTTTTCTAGTTCAGCTCTAGTTCACTTCTGTTGCTTTTCTAGTTCAGCTCTAGTTCAGTTCTAGTTCAGTTCTAGTTCAGTTCTAGTTCAGTTCTAGTTCGTTTCTAGTTCAGTTCTAGTCAGCTTCTAGTTCAGTTCTAGTTCAGTTCTAGTTCAGTTCTAGTTCAGTTCTAGTTCAGTTCTAGTTCAGTTCTGTTCTAGTTCAGTTCTAGTTCAGTTCTAGTTCAGTTCTAGTTCAGTTCTAGTTCAGTTCTAGTTCAGTTCTAGTTCAGTTCTAGTTCAGTTCTAGTTCAGTTCTAGTTCAGTTCTAGTTCAGTTCTAGTTCAGTTCTAGTTCAGTTCTAGTTCAGTTCTAGTTCAGTTCTAGTTCAGTTCTAGTTCAGTTCTAGTTCAGTTCTAGTTCAGTTCTAGTTCAGTTCTAGTTCAGTTCTAGTTCAGTTCTAGTTCAGTTCTAGTTCAGTTCTAGTTCAGTTCTAGTTCAGTTCTAGTTCAGTTCTAGTTCAGTTTCTAGTTCAGTTCTAGTTCAGTTCTAGTTCAGTTCTAGTTCAGTTCTAGTTCAGTTCTAGTTCAGTTCTAGTTCAGTTCTAGTTAAGTTCTAGTTCAGTTCTAGTTCAGTTCTAGTTCAGTTCTAGTTCAGTTCTAGTTCAGTTCTAGTTCAGTTCTAGTTCAGTTCTAGTTCAGTTCTAGTTCAGTTCTAGTTCAGTTCTAGTTCAGTTCTAGTTCAGTTCTAGTTCAGTTCTAGTTCAGTTCTAGTTCAGTTCTAGTTCAGTTCTAGTTCAGTTCTAGTTCAGTTCTAGTTCAGTTGTTCTAGTTCAGTTTAGTTCAGTTCTAGTTCAGTTCTAGTTCAGTTCTAGTTCAGTTCTAGTTCAGTTCTAGTTCAGTTCTAGTTCAGTTCTAGTTCAGTTCTAGTTCAATCTAGTTCAGTTCTAGTTCAGTTCTAGTTCAGCTCTAGTTCAGTTCTGTTCAGTTCTAGTTGAGTTCTAGTTCAGTTCTAGATTAGTTCTAGTTCAGCTCTAGTTCAGTTCTAGTTCAGTTCTAGTTCAGTTCTAGTTCAGTTCTAGTTCAGTTCTAGTTCTAGTTCAGGTCTAGTTCAGTTCTAGTTCAGGTCTAGTTCAGTTCTAGTTCAGTTCTAGTTCAGTTCTAGTTCAGTTCTAGTTCAGTTCTAGTTCAGTTCTAGTTCAGTTCTAGTTCAGTTCTAGTTCAGTTCTAGTTCAGTTCTAGTTCAGTTCTAGTTCAGTTCTAGTTCAGTTCTAGTTCAGTTCTAGTTCAGTTCTAGTTCAGTTCTAGTTCAGTTCTAGTTCAGTTCTAGTTCAGTTCTAGTTCTAGTTCAGTTCTAGTTCAGGTCTAGTTCAGTTCTAGTTCAGGTCTAGTTCAGTTCTAGTTCAGTTCTAGTTCAGTTCTAGTTCAGTTCTAGTTCAGTTCTAGTTCAGTTCTAGTTCAGTTCTAGTTCAGTTCTAGTTCAGTTCTAGTTCAGTTCTAGTTCAGTTCTAGTTCAGTTCTAGTTCAGTTCTAGTTCAGTTCTAGTTCAGTTCTAGTTCAGTTCTAGTTCAGTTCTAGTTCAGTTCTAGTTCAGTTCTAGTTCAGTTCTAGTTCAGTTCTAGTTCAGTTCTAGTTCAGTTCTAGTTCAGTTCTAGTTCAGTTCTAGTTCAGTTCTAGTTCAGTTCTAGTTCAGTTCTAGTTCAGTTCTAGTTCAGTTCTAGTTCAGTTCTAGTTCAGTTCTAGTTCAGTTCTAGTTCAGTTTAGTTCAGTTCTAGTTCAGTTCTAGTTCAGTTCTAGTTCAGTTCTAGTTCAGTTCTAGTTCAGTTCTAGTTCAGTTCTAGTTCAGTTCTAGTTCAGTCTAGTTCAGTTCTAGTTCAGTTCTAGTTCAGTTCTAGTTCTAGTTCAGTTCTAGTTCAGTTCTAGTTCAGTTCTAGTTCAGTTCTAGTTCAGTTCTAGTTCAGTTCTAGTTCAGTTCTAGTTCAGTTCTAGTTCAGTTCTAGTTCAGTTCTAGTTCAGTTCTAGTTCAGTTCTAGTTCAGTTCTAGATTAGTTCTAGATTAGTTCTAGTTCAGCTCTAGTTCAGTTCTAGTTCAGTTCTAGTTCAGTTCTAGTTCTAGTTCAGTTCTAGTTCAGTTCTAGTTCAGGTCTAGTTCAGTTCTAGTTCATTTCTAGTTCCGTTTCTAGTCAGTTCTAGTTCAGTTCTAGTTCAGTTCTAGTTCAGTTCTAGTTCATTCTAGTTCAGTTCTAGTTCGGTCTAAGTTCAGTTCTAGTTCCAGTTCTAGTTGCAGTTCTAGTTTCAGTTCTAGTTCAGTTCTAGTTCAGTTCTAAGTTCAGTTATAGTTCAGTTCTAGTTCAGTTCTCAGTTCAGCTCTAGTTCAGTTCTAGTTTCAGTTCTAGTTTACTTTAGTTCATTTCTATATTTGTTCATTTTGGCTTTAGAGTTGATGTAATTTAGTTTAGAAATCTAGATTTTAAAAAACTATTAACTAACTTTTTTTCTAAAATATATTTGGTTTGAAACAAACAAATTGTTAGTATCTCTACTGTATAAATACTTACGTTTTGCTAACGTTTCAATCCCCTAATATCGTTTCCCCCTTCAGCTCTTTTTCATCAATCTTTTCATCCATAAATATTTTCACTCCTTCAAAACAACAAATACATTTTTCAAAAAAAACCCGATTTCCTTCCCTTGTGATTATTTTATTAACAAGAAAATATATAAATTTCTAGCCATTGTCAGTTTATTTATTATTAGTCAGTATTAATTATTCAATATTGATTTATACGATTTAACAAATCACTACCCATTTCATGTGATTAAGTGCTACTGTTCTCGTTGTGTGTCTGTGTATATTTTTAACCCCTTTTGTAAGGCAAGCAACCCTTTCTTTTTTACACACTCGCATACAAACTTTGTGATGTGTGTGCTTTATTATTGCCGGTTCCACCTTTAGGCCATGTTTTTTCCACTTAATATTTAATCATGTTTACTTGTCAATTGCAGCTGTCATACACACATAAAAACACATAATAACACAAAAGGCTCATAGACACACATTCTCCACTACAATGCCACCACCACCGTCACTCTTACAACGAACGATACGTACGATCCAACCAACCACTTAATAAAATGTAATTGTGCATGTACAACTATTGAACTTTTAAAGACAAAATATAAAACCAGAGAAGGGTGTTAGATTCAGTTATAACGAACATGTTATACCCTGCACTAAATGAATTTTAATGTTAGAAATTAGGTTTTTCCTTTCTATAATCAAAAATATATAAACGTTACTTGTAAATAGATTTTTATTACCTCCGGCCACGCCCTTTTTAAAGGGGCTGAAATAATTTCCTGTTATATCTTGCATTTTATTAAATAGGTCTTAGTGTAGTGTAGTATTTTTTAGACTTTTTTTTGATTTGTTCTTATTTTTCGTGTTTTTTTAAAGCATTTTTTTATTAATTTACCTTTCCACTCTTGGCTTTTCTCTATTTACAGACAATATTTCCATTGTATCTTCAATTTGATTATAATTTCATTACAACGGGGGCAATAAAAAGGCTTAACACTGGACCGTAAAGTGTTGTGGAAGGGTTAATGGCGGCCTCCACTCAAGGAGAAATTCGAGTGGGTCCCGGCCACCAGGTAAACGATGTCTATGTACGTACCATAACTCACAAATTTCACGGTAAACAATTCTACTTGTGACTGTTTTCTTTTTTTGTTTATCCAAAATATTGTCTTTATGTTTCTTAAAATTTTTTCAAATTAAATCTAAAATTCTAAATTTTTTCCTACCAAAAACAGATTTACTACATTACTAATACTTAAATTTGTCATTAACATTATAATCATAATACATAGTCAAAAAATGATCGGCCATTATTTGAGAAATTATATTACTGTCTAGTTTAGGTTTTTAGTTCAGTTCTATAGCAGATTTAGTTTTGATCTAGGTTAGTTTCTGTTCAGTTCTAATTATGTTGCACTTCTGTTCTGATCAGTTCTAGTTGTATTATAGTTCAATTCTAGTTAAGCTCTAGTTAAATTCTAGTTTAAATCTAGTTAGTTCTAGTTCAAGCTAGTCAGTTCTAGTCAGTCTAGTTCAGTTCTAGTTCAGTTCTAGGTTCAGTTCTAGTTCAGTCTAGTTCAGTTCAGTCAGTAGTCAGTTTAGTCTTTCAGTTTAGTTCAGTTCTAGTTCAGTTCTAGTTCATTTCTAGTTCAGTTCTAGTCAGTTCTAGTTCAGTTCTAGTTCAGTTCTAGTTCAGTTCTAGTTCAGTTCAGTTCAGTTCTAGTTCAGTTCTAGTTCAGTTCTAGTTCAGTTCTAGTTCAGTCTAGTTCAGTTCAGTTAGTAGTTCAGTTCTAGTTCAGTTCTAGTTCAGTTTCTAGTTCAGTTCTAGTTCAGTTCTAGTCAGTTCTAGTTCAGTCTAGTTCGTATAGTTCAGTTCTAGTTCAGTTCTAGTTCAGTTCTAGTTCAGTTCTAGTTCAGTTCTAGTTCTTCAGTTCTAGTTCAGTTCTAGTTCAGTTTCTAGTTCAGTTCTAGTTCAGTTCTAGTTCAGTTCTAGTTCAGTTCTAGTTCAGTTCTAGTTCAGTTCTAGTTCAGTTCAGTTCAGTTCATAGTTCAGTTCTAGTAGTCAGTTAGTTCTAGTTCAGTTCTAGTTCAGTTCTAGTTCAGTTCTAGTTCAGTTCTAGTTCGTTCTAGTTCAGTTTCTAGTTCAGTTCTAGTTCAGTTCTAGTTCAGTTCTAGTTCAGTTCTAGTTCATTTCTAGTTCAGTTCTAGTTCAGTTCTAGTTCAGTTCTAGTCAGTTCTAGTTCAAGTTCTATTTCAGTTCTAGTCAATTTCTAGTTCATTCTAGTTCAGTTTCTAGTTCAGTTCTAGTTCAGTTCTGTTGTTCTCTCAGTTCTAGTTCAGTTCTAGTTCAGTTCTAGTTCAGTTCTAGTTCAGTTCTAGTCAGTTCTAGTTCAGTTCTAGTTCAGTTCTAGTTCAGTTCTAGTTCAGTTCTAGTTCAGTTCTAGTTCAGTTCTAGTTCAGTTCTAGTCAGTTCTAGTCAGTTTCTAGTTCAGTTATAGTTCAGTTCTAGTTCCGTTCTAGTTCAGTTCTAGTTCAGTTCTAGTTCAGTTCTAGTTCAGTTCTAGTTCAGTTCTAGTTCAGTTCAAGTTCAGTTCAGTTCAGTTCTAGTTCAGTTCTAGTATTCAGTTCTAGTTCAGTATAGTCAGTTCGTTCAGTCTAGTTCAGTTCTAGTCAGTTCTAGTTCAGTTTATAGTTCGTTCTTTCTAGTCAGTTCTAGTTCAGTTCTAGTTCAGTTCTATTCAGTTATAGTTCAGTTATAGTTCAGTTCTAGTTCAGTTCTAGTTCAGTCTAGTTCAGTTCTAGTTCAGTTCTAGTTCAGTTCTAGTTCAGTTCTAGTCAGTTTGAGTTCAGTTCTAGTTCAGTTCTAGTTCAGTTCTAGTTCAGTTTGAGTTCAGTTATAGTTCAGTTCACTATTCAGTTCACTATTCACTTCTCTATTCTAGTTCAGTTCAAGTTCAGTTCTAGTTCGTTTTACTTCAGTTCTGTACTATTTCAGTTCACTATTCACTTTTCTATTCTAGTTCTGTTCTATTTCAGTAATTTTTATCTTTTCATTTCTGAAATTAATAAGAATTCTCTTTTATTTTAAATCCTGTTTAGCACCAAATATATATTTTTGTCAGATTATTATTTCTTGCTTACAAATCAATACTTATTGTTTTTCTATAAAAATATCGAAGATTAATTTTGTAGACAATTGCTTCGAATACATATCTAGACATTTTATTGTTATAGTACTAGTACAGTCTATCTTTCTGTATAGACAGATGTATACATATCTTAAAAGTTGTGTATAATGATTGTTAAACACAAGTGCAATCAATATATGTACTTTTATAGCTCGTCGTTTATACAATATTGAAATACAATAGTAGCTGATAATGAAGATATTTTATTTGTTTTAATTAATTGTACTAATTGTTTAAATGTTTACTAGATTGTGTAGAATGTTTGTATGTATAAATATGTATGCATATTTATGCATTTTTTGTATATATATAAATTTGTTATTGTATTTTAATATAATAACAACAAATCAATAAATATGCAATTAACCCAACCTCTGCTTTCCTTTGAATAAAAAAAAAACATATTTCTCCTCCTCTTAGTTCACCCTCTCTTTATTGATTGTATGAATGTTTTGTAGACATTCTAATAATAATAATAATTGGCTGTTTATTTACAACAATTGGCTTAATAAATAATAATTATCTTAATAGAAAATACAGTGTTTAACATTTATAGAAGTTTTGTTGAAAAAAAGTAAAAATAAACTGTAAATATAAGTAATGAATTGTGGTGTCTCCTTCTATAAGATAATATTTATGAAATATGTATTAAACTTAGTATGGAACAGTTATAAAACATAATAAATATTGTGTGTATAATTAATATAATTATATAATCTTATATACATAAATACTTTATACCATAAGTAAGTTGAGTAGTAGTTCAATGGGGTTTAGTTTGTCAACAGTTTGTTAAATTTTTATTCTGATACACATATGTTTTATGACAAATTAAATTCAATAAAGACCTTTAATATATAGGAAATGTTTACAGAGGTTGCAAGGAAACCATATATCATATTTGCCATTAAGGATTTAAAGTTACCCCAGGTAAGCTATTTTCAGCTATTGGTTCTAGTTCACGTTCATATTTCAGATCTAGTTTAGTTCTAGTTCAGTTCTATTTCATATCTAGTTCAGTTCTAGTTCAGTTCTAGTTCAGTTCTAGTTTAGTTCAGTGTAGTTCTTAGTTCAGTTCTAGTTCAATTCTAGTTCAGTTCTAGTGCAGTTCTAGTTCAGTTCTAGTTCCGTTCTAGTTCAGTTCTAGTCAGTTTCTAGTTCAGTTCTAGTTCAGTTCTAGTTCAGTTCTAGTTCAGTTCTAGTTCAGTTCTAGTTCAGTTCTAGTGCAGTTCTATGTGCAGTTCTAGTTCCAGGTCTATTCAGTTCTAATTCAGTTCTAAGTTCAGTTCTAGGTCAGTTCTGTTCAGTTCTAGTTCAGTTCTAGTTCAGTTCTAGTTCAGTTCTAGTTCAGTTCTAGTTCCTAGTTCAGTTCTAGTTCAGTTCTAGTTCAGTTCTAGTTCAGTTCTAGTTCAGTTCTAGTTCAGTTCTAGTTCAGTTCTAGTTCAGTTCTAGTTCAGTTCTAGTTCAGTTCTAGTTCAGTTCTAGTTCAGTTCTAGTCCAGTTCTAGTTCAGTTCTAGTTCAGTTCTAGTTCATTTCTAGTTCATTTCTAGTTCATTTCTAGTTCATTTCTAGTTCAGTTCTAGTTCAGTTCTAGTTCAGTTCTAGTTCAGTTCTAGTTCAGTTCTAGTTCAGTTCTAGTTCAGTTCTAGTTCAGTTCTAGTTCTAGTTCAGTTCTAGTTCAGTTCTAGTTCTAGTTCAGTTCTAGTTCAGTTCTAGTTCAGTTCTAGTTCAGTTTAGTTCTAGTTCAGTTCTAGTTCAGTTCTATTTCAGTTCTAGTTCAGTTCTAGTTCAGTTCTAGTTCAGTTCTAGTTCAGTTCTAGTTCAGTTCTAGTTCAGTTCTAGTTCAGTTCTAGTTCAGTTCTAGTTCAGTTCTAGTTAGTTCTAGTTCAGTTCTAGTTCAGTTCTAGTTCAGTTCTAGTTCAGTTCTAGTTCAGTTCTAGTTCAGTTCTAGTTCAGTTCTAGTTCAGTTCTAGTTCAGTTCTAGTTCAGTTCTAGTTCAGTTCTAGTTCAGTTCTAGTTCAGTTCTAGTTCAGTTCTAGTTCAGTTCTAGTTCAGTTCTAGTTCAGTTCTAGTTCAGTTCTAGTTCAGTTCTAGTTCAGATCTAGTTCAGTTCTAGTTCAGTTCTAGTTCAGTTCTAGTTCAGTTCTAGTTCAGTTCTAGTTCAGTTCTAGTTCAGTTCTAGTTCAGTTCTAGTTCAGTTCTAGTTCAGTTCTAGTTCAGTTCTAGTTCAGTTCTAGTTCAGTTCTAGTTCAGTTCTAGTTCAGTTCTAGTTCAGTTCTAGTTCAGTTCTAGTTCAGTTCTAGTTCAGTTCTAGTTCAGTTCTAGTTCAGTTCTAGTTCAGTTCTAGTTCAGTTCTAGTTCAGTTCTAGTTCAGTTCTAGTTCAGTTCTAGTTCTAGTTCTATTCAGTTCTAGGTCAGTTCTAGTTCAGTTTCGTCAGTTCTAGTTCTAGTTCGTCTAGTTCTAGTTCAGTTCTAATTCAGTTCTAGTTCAGTTCTAGTTCAGTCTAGTTCAGTTCTAGTTCAGTTCTAGTTCAGTTCTAGTTCAGTTCTAGTTCAGTTCTAGTTCAGTTCTAGTTCAGTTCTAGTTCAGTTCTAGTTCAGTCTAGTTCAGTTCTAGTTTCAGTTCTAGTTCAGTTCTAGTTCAGTTCTAGTTCAGTTCTAGTTCAGTTCTAGTTCAGTTCTAGTCAGTTCTAGTTCAGTTCTAGTTCAATTCTAGTTCAGTTCTAGCTCAGTTCATAGTTCAGTTTCTAGTTCAGTTCTAGTTCAGTTTCTAGTTCAGTTCTAGTTCAGTTCTAGTTCAGTTCTAGTTCAGTTCTAGTTCAGTTCTAGTTCAGTTCTAGTTCAGTTCTAGTTCAGTTCTAGTTCAGTTCTAGTTCAGTTCTAGTTCAGTTCTAGTTCTAGTTCAGTTCTAGTTCAGTTCTAGTTCAGTTCTAGTCAGTCTAGTTCAGTTCTAGATTCAGTTCTAGTTTCAATTCTAGTTCCGTTTCTAGTTCAGTACTAGTTCAGTTCTACTTCAGTTCTAGTTCAGTTCTACTCAGTTCTACCTTCAGTTCTAGTTCTTATTCTGCAGTTCTAGTACCACTTATTGTTTAGATCTAGATTCCGTTCCCTTGTCTTCGAGGCTGAAAAGAAAAGAATAAAAAAATGTAGTCTTGTTCTTTTATTCTTTATTGCCGGCAAACTTAATAAATGTTAACATTGTTGTTTTTTTTCAATTTCCCTACTCCCATCCTTTATCTTATTTATATCCTTGGTCCCCTATTACTACATTTTCATCAACATTTCGTAACGTAATCATACATGCTCATTTGCATTAGTTTTAAATATAAATTAAGTAGTTATTAACTAAATTAATTTTACAAACTATAAACTTGGTGTGTTTATTATTATCTATATTATATATTTTTTTTATTATCTACATATAAATATAAATAAAAACACATAAAACAATAATATTCTTATACAAACTCTAAATAAACAATAAACCTAAACTATATAAACAAAATTATCATTTAATTCTATTAAAACATAATAAATTTGTTTATATAATTTGTTTTTTCATTAACCCTGTCAAAAATAAAAAAATATTTGATTTTTCCACTAATTAACATATTTTTTTATACCTTCCAACAACCTATCACAAATCAATCAAACAACAACAAAAAAACAACACCACCAATAACTACTACTTCAATCAAACTACATATCTACTCTGCTCTCCTATTATTACTACTGCAATCCAATACTACTACTTCTCCTCCATAATATATGCACTCACTCATACACCTTCCCCAAAAAACAACACAAAAGGCAAAACTGCCCGATTATAATCCAATTTCAAGCTTCCCTGTTGACAAGGAAAACGACGAACGTGAATTAGAAATACCAAGATGGAGTCCCGGTGCTATGGCAGATGGAGATCTTTGATGTTCTTGCGTGCAGCTCGTTCAATGGCTGCATTTCAAGGTAAATATCCACCGGAAGAAATACTAAAAAGTAATGACACACATATATTTATTTACGAACAGGATTTGAATATTATTAATTTCTTTTTCTCTCTTTGTTTCTAACAATTGGCCTTGCAGGAATGTGTGATGGCGGTCTAGAAGAAGGTATGTGGCAGCAACACGTGATGACACAACTATTAATGCACATGACGTTGTAAGTATCTATAAGGGGACATATTAATTATACTAATAATTTATCAATTTCACAGGCTTTATATTTTAATAATTTAGTTTCGACGAGAGATTGAAATTTTAAAATGATTGAATTCAGATCTAGTTCAGTTCTAGTTCTAGTTCTAGTTCAGTTCTAGTTCAGTTCTAGTTCAGTTCTAGTTCAGTTCTAGTTCAGTTCTAGTTCAGTTCTAGTTCAGTTCTAGTAAGTTCTAGTTCAGTTCGGTTCAGTTCTAGTTCAGTTCTAGTTCAGTTCTAGTTCAGTTCTAGTTCATTCTAGTTCAGTTCTAGTTCAGTTCTAGTTCAGTTCTAGTTCAGTTCTAGTTCAGTTCTAGTTCAGTTCTAGTTCAGTTCTAGTTCAGTTCTAGTTCAGTTCTAGTTCAGTTCTAGTTCAGTTCTAGTTCAGTTCTAGTTCAGTTCTAGTTCAGTTCTAGTTCAGTTCTAGTTCAGTTCTAGTTCAGTTCTAGTTCAGTTCTAGTTCAGGTTCTAGTTCAGTTCTAGTTCAGTTCTAGTTCAGTTCTAGTTCAGTTCTAGTTCAGTTCTAGTTCAGTTCTAGTTCAGTTCTAGTTCAGTTCTAGTTCAGTTCTAGTTCAGTTCTAGTTCAGTTCTAGTTCAGTTCTAGTTCAGTTCTAGTTCAGTTCTAGTTCAGTTCTAGTTCAGTTTCTAGTTCATTCTAGTTCAGTTCTAGTTCAGTTCTAGTTCAGTTCTAGTTTCAGTTCTAGTTCAGTTCTAGTTCAGTTCTAGTTAGTTCTAGTTCATTTCTAGTTCAGTTCTAGTTCAGTTCTAGTTCAGTTCTAGTTCAGTTCTAGTTCAGTTCTAGTTCAGTTCTAGTTCAGTTCTAGTTCAGTTCTAGTTCAGTTCTAGTTCAGTTCTAGTTCAGTTCTAGTTCAGTTCTAGTTCAGTTCTAGTTCAGTTCTAGTTCAGTTCTAGTTCAGTTCTAGTTCAGTTCTAGTTCAGTTCTAGTTCAGTTCTAGTTCAGTTCTAGTTCAGTTCTAGTTCAGTTCTAGTTCAGTTCTAGTTCAGTTCTAGTTCTTAGTTCAGTTCTATTTCAGTTCTAGTTCAGTTCTAGTTCAGTTCTAGTTCAGTTCTAGTTCAGTTCTAGTTCAGTTCTAGTTCAGTTTTAGTTCAGTTCTAGTTCAGTTTTAGTTCAGTTCTAGTTCAGTTCTAGTTCAGTTCTAGTTCAGTTCTAGTTCCGTTCTAGATCCGTTCTAGTTCCGTTCTAGTTCAGTTCTAGTTTAGTTCTAGTTCAGTTCTAGTTCAGTTGTAGTTCAGTTCTAGTTCAGTTCTAGTTCAGTTCTAGTTCAGTTCTAGTTCAGTTCTAGTTCAGTTCTAGTTCAGTTCTAGTTCAGTTCTAGTTCAGTTCTAGTTCAGTTCTAGTTCAGTTCTAGTTCAGTTCTAGTTCAGTTCTAGTTCAGTTCTAGTTCAGTTCTAGTTCAGTTCTAGTTCAGTTCTAGTTCAGTTCTAGTTCAGTTCTAGTTCAGTTAGTTCAGTTCAGTTCTATTCAGTTCTAGTTCAGTACTAGTCAGTTCTAGTTCAGTTCTAGTTCAGTTCTAGTTCAGTTCTAGTTCAGTTCTAGTTCAGTTCTAGTTCAGTTCTAGTTCAGTTCTAGTTCAGTTCTAGTTCAGGTTCTAGTTCAGTTCTAGTTTCAGTTCTAGTTCAGTTCTAGTTCAGTTCTAGTTCAGTTCTAGTTCAGTTCTAGTTCAGTTCTAGTTCAGTTCTAGTTCAGTTCTAGTTCAGTTCTAGTTCAGTTCTAGTTCAGTTCTAGTTCAGTTCTAGTTCAGTTCTAGTTCAGTTCTAGTTCAGTTCTAGTTCAGTTCTAGTTTAGTTCAGTTCTAGTTCAGTTCTAGTTCAGTTCTAGTTCAGTTCTAGTTCAGTTCTAGTTCAGTTCTAGTTCAGTTCTAGTTCAGTTCTAGTTCAGTTTCTAGTTCAGTTCTAGTTCAGTTCTAGTTCAGTTCTAGTTCAGTTCTAGTTCAGTTCTAGTTCAGTTCTAGTTCAGTTCTAGTTCAGTTCAGTTCTAGTTCTAGTTCAGTTCTAGTTCAGTTCTAGTCCAGTTCTAGTTCAGATCTAGTTCAGTTCTAGTTCAGTTCTAGTTCAGTTCTAGTTCAGTTCTAGTTCAGTTCTAGTTCAGTTCTAGTTCAGTTCTAGTTCGGTTCTAGTTCAGTTCTAGTTCAGTTCTAGTTCTGTACTAGTTCAATTATATTTCAGTTCAACTCTAGTTCTAGTTCAACTCTTGTTCTGTCAATTTTGTTTTGACAATATTCTAAAAATTCTATTCTATTCAATATTTTCAAGAATAATGGATTCAATATTATACATTTAATCATTAATTAATAAATTAACTAATTAATTAACTAACCCTAATCGTGTCTAATAATATAACTAATCTAATATTTAAAATAATTATGTTATATGAATTATTAATTAAATACTAAATGATGGATAAACAAAATACTTTATATATTTTTTTTTTCAAACAAATTGTGACCATTTTATAACTCCCCTCATATTTCTTTACTTTGTTTTTAGTTACATGATAACGGTTACGACCCAGGTAAAGCACTTCAAGCACTTGTAAAAGCACCTCTTACCAAAAGTATTGAAAAGAAGTGGTGCGAGGACGAAATAAAAAAATTCATTAAAGGCCTTAGACAATTTGGCAAAAACTTTTTTAGAATCCAAAGGATTTATTACCCCATAAAGAGACACCCGAACTAGTTGAATTCTACTATTTGTGGAAAAAGACACCGAGCGCTAATAGCAATCGCCCGCATCGTAGACGCCGCCAAAGTGCATTGCGTCGCAATCGTGTTTACACGGGCAAGTAATACACCTCCCAAAAAGGAGGATACACCAGAACCACAATCTGCTGCATCAGCCGCAACAACGACGGCGACGACGACGGCGTCGACGGCGAGTGCAGACAAAGGTCGCGCTTCGCCAGTTGTCAATAAGGAGGAGACCAGTTCTCTGACTGAAGACGACGTAAGCGAGTGCGACAGCGATTCAAGTTTAACCCATAAAAGGGATGAATCACCGTCTAGAATGAGGACGAGAAATAAACAACAGAATACAACCGGCACAACGGCGAAGTGCGATCAGACACAGGTGACGCAGCCACAGCCGACGGCTAATGGCAAGCGTCCTAAGCGTGGTGCTGAAACACCGGATAATATTGCTGGCGCCGCAGCAGGAGCGGCAACAGGAACGGCTGCGGGAGAAAGTCCTAAACGCCAACTAAACCTGTCGCCGAGAGTGCGGCGAATAAACGTAAGACTGGTCGTCAAGAGACACCCAGTAAAAAGAAACGTAGCGATACCGAGGGCTCTGTGGGATCTGCGGTGAGTGCCACCGACAACACCCGACGAGAGTGATAACAATGGCGGTCCTGCGGCCATTTCTGCCGGTCCTAAAGATAAACGCAAACGCGCTGAAAGTCCGGTTGAAAGCACAAATTCCGATAGTCGTTCAGACTCTGCCATGGATGATGGCGAGTCTAACAACACTGATTCGGGCGAACAGCAATCTAACAAAGACAGCAAAGAGAGTTCGTCTAGCAAGGAAGAGAATAGTAGTAGTGGTAATAGCGAAATTGAATCATCCACCAAAAGTGATAAGAATCTTATACCGAAAACTGAATCAAAAGTTTCCGATATCGATATTAAAGATAAAATCAAAAATGTCGACGAGGAAACCAATATACAGGCACCAACTATGGTTACTGATACAAGTCTTAAAGACAAGGAACCCAAAGAAGATCCCTTAGCTATACCTACCACAAAACCATTGCCACAACCCGTTGTAGTTAGCGCACCACTTCCGCCATTAAAGGTTCCCACGGTGGAGGCGCTAAACGCATCTGTTGAACGCAAAGAGTTGGCTAAAGCAGAAATGATGGATACTGGTGATATGCCGAAAGATATGCTTAAGAAGCTGGCTAATATGAAACAGGAAATATCCACACCTCCTCAGATGCCACCTCAGCCACCACTAGCACCCCCGCAGCCGCAAAGCATTATACCAGAGGTTGTCTACTTTAAGAAAGAACCTAAAGATCTGGATTCGGCCTGTAATCAAAATAGTAATGAACCTCAAGATCTCAAAGTTAAAATTGAGGTTAAGAGCGAAGACATCAAGCCGCCTATTATGGGTTTGCCACCGGCGATACCGCCACCAGGCAGCCAGGCTCCCATGTCTTTGACTACAAAGCGAGATGGTCCAGAACCACCATCGCCGCTGCCACTAAATCAACATCAACAACCTCCACCACATATGCAACATCCTCATGCTCCTGGACCTCCACCAGGCTACATAGTCGAGGGTGGCCAACTCAAATTTGCGCCACCTTCACAACAGCAGCAGCCTCCACAAGGCCCACCCACATCTATGCCTAACGATAGTTTCTATGCCGCCATGTAGTGGTCCTCCAACAGGTCCTCCACCACCACAACAACCGAAATATGCCAATGAAATGGATCATAAGTTCCCAGATGGCATTAAATACGAACCGGGCAAATTTGTACCCCAAGATCTTAAATATACACCTGGGCAATTGGATACTCTTAAATATAGCCAGGAAATGCAAGCAGCTGCAGCTGCAGCAGCGGCGGCCGCTGGCAAGTTTGATATGAAGTTTATGATAGAACAACAAGGAGGCAAGTTTCCCGGCGATCTGTCGGCTCATGCACAACCGCCTACGGGTAAACCGCCCTACGGTAGTGCAGGCGATATAGCAATGAAACACCCCGATCTTAAGGGTGGTTACCCACCTACCAGCCTGGGACCTCCTCCAGTGAGCAGTTCTTCTGCGTCAAGTGATAATGCGCCTCCCCCACACAAATATATGGGCGGTCATCTGGAACAACAGCCACCACCCTCACATGGACAGCCGCCAGGAGCTACTCCACCGCCAGGCATTGCTATGCCAAAGCCACACTATGAACATCAGGTACAGCATCCTTTGGCCAGACCACCATTTGAGTCGGCAGCAGGTCTAATGATGAAATATGGCGATCCAATGGTGGGTAAATATGGACCTCAAGATATGAAGTATCCACCACCACAGGGACCACCTACTGATATGAGCACGGGCGGTATGAAACCTTCGCCGTATGGTGAAAATCTCATTAAACCTTCTCCTTATGGTGGTGGCCCACCTGAAACGGGATTAAAATATCCTCCACCAGAAAGCCCTATAGACGCTTCATCACGATCTACACCCGGCCAAGATAGTCAGAGTAGTAACAGCAGTTCACAGCCATCTTCACAAATGCAATTCCAGTCGCCACATCCTTCACCACATATGCCGTCGCCTGCTGGTGGGGGTCTGCCACCAGGAATGCATCCTCAAAATTTGGTGTCTCCACATGGTGGTCCGCTACAGCCGCCACCTCCTTCGCACCAAAGTCAAATGCCCGGTATGCCACCAGGTTCGTCCACAAGTGGTCCACCACCACAGGGTACACTGCATCATCCTACCCCAACACCCGTCACCTCTAGTGGAGGTCTACATCATCCTGGCCAATCTACCCCTAGTTCTATGCCCCCTTCATCGGCAGCAGGTGGCCCACCGCACAGTATCACTTCGATGGCACCCTCAGCTGGTATGCACCCACAACATATGCCTCCCAGCCATTTGCCTCAATTACATAGACCCCATGCGGAATTACCACCAGGCGCTGGCAGCATGCATCCTTTGGCGCCCATACCATTATCTCTACAAAATCATGATCCTCGTAGTGGGCCATTGCCACACCTCCAGGGTCACGGTTTGCCGATTCATGGGCAACCGCCACAGCAATCAGCGGCATCGAATGCACGAACCCCATCACCTGCTCAGCCACCACAAAGAGGAGGTTTGCACGAAGAAAGACCAGGTCAAGGTGGACCTCCGTCATCTCAGTTGCGAGATCCTCCTACCTCACAGTCATCTTCATCGGGGCCACCCCAGCAGTCGCCTCATGCTCACCGTACTTCTCCGTTGCCTGGTCTCTCAAGCAATGCACCACCAGGTCTTATTGGGCATCCCTTACCCATACATCCGCATTTGGCCCATTTACCACCCGGCCATCCACATGCTGGTCATCATATGCTTCCACACTCTCTTGCTGGCCTGGGACCTGGTGCAGGTCCTTTGGCCCTGTTGGCTGGACCACCATCACTTAGTAGTATGCCGGAAACGGGTCTAAGTAGAAGAAGTCCACCTCCTTCACATTTGCAATCGTCCGGACATCCGGCTGTCTCTTCAGCCAGTGGGCCGATGCCATCACACCCCTCGAATCCACCAGTGTCGTCATCTAGTTCATTGTCGTCCACCAATACGGTTCCATCGTCGGCATTTAGTCGAGCCAGTCCTAGCGTTCAAAACAACTCGGGTCCTGGAGGTCCCGGCAGTGGACTTAGTGGCCCGCCTGGCAGCAATAATGTGGGTACCCCCAGCGGCTTAAATTCATCGGTGGGTGCTGGACATCGTTCTTCTTCTCCGGCTTCAAGTGTCAGCAGTCTCAGTCGCCAGAGTCCTTTACATCCTGTGCCACAATCACCGCTTAGCCATCACCCATCATCTTCGGCACTCTCGGCAGCAGCAGCAGCGGTGGCGGAACGTGATCGTCACGCCTTGTTGCGTCAACAATCACCCCATATGACTCCTCCACCAGTTTCGAGTGCTTCCGCTTTGATGGCCAGTCCTTTGAGCAAGATGTATGGTCCTCAGTCGGGTCAACGAGGATTAGGAGCATCACCGCCACCTCATTTAAGACCAGGCGCCTCACCACCGGTCATACGTCATCCGCAAATGCCACTGCCATTGCCTCTAATACCTGCTGGAGCTGGAATGCCACCCATGGGAGTACATCCCGGTCAATCACCTTATCCTCACCCGCTTTTACATCCGTCAATGTTTTACTCTCCTCATCACCACAATCCATTCAATTCGCCATATGGTTATGGTCCCTATGGACCAGGTTTCCCAGCATACATGAAGCCTCCCGGAGGTCCGGGTGGTCCTTTAGATCCGGCAGCAGTAATGGCGGCAGCTCATCATCAAGGTTTGCCTGGACCACCACCAACCAGACCCGATGATCCTGCTTTACTAGCTGCACAGGAAAAACAGAAACAGCAACAACAGCAGCATCAGCATCAGCAACAACAACAGCAGCAGCACCAACAACAAATGCAACAACAGCATCAACAACAGCAGCAACAACAACATCAACAACAAATGCAGCAACAGCATCAACAACAGCAGCAGCAACAGCATCAACAACAACAACAACAACAGCAGCAACAGCAACAACAACAGCAGCAGCAACAGCAACAAATGCAGCAACAGCATCAACAAAATAAACCGCCAACACCAAAGACACCACAGGGCAATAATAGCAATATCAATAGTGGTGGACCGAATGGACCACCGGGCAGTCAGCAATCTACTCCTACCGGTCTACCACCAGCTGGTTATCCGGGTTCGCATATACCAGGTTATCCGCCACCACCGCATTCATCACCCTTTCAAGAAATCGGTAAACCACACATACTCCAGCCCACTTCACATATGGATGCATTACGAGCTCATGCTCATTCGGCCAGTTCTGGTCTAGGAGGACCACCACCTCCGCATCATCATCCCACAGAACCATGTAAGTATCAAAAACTGTAAATGAATGAAAGAGAATATCTATATTAATCATTATTTTCCTTTTTCTCTGATTTACAGTGCCCATTGAAATTGAGCCTGATCCGGAGCCGGAAATACCTAGTCCAACGCACAATATTCCACGTGGTCCTAGTCCCGAAGCCAAACCCGATGATACCGAATGCCACCGCTCTCAATCGGCTATGTATGCCTATTTTACTGTTATAGTTTTTACAAGTTTTTTAATGTTTTTAACTGTTTTTTTTTAGCTTTGTACGCCATATCGACCGCGGTGATTACAACTCCTGCACCAGAACTGATTTAATATTTAAACCAGTGGCCGACTCTAAATTAGCACGTAAACGTGAGGAACGTGATCGTAAATTAGCCGAAAAGGAAAGAGAACGTAGACAGGTTTGTTTTTTTTTTTGTAATTTGGAAAATTTTTGAAATATGTTTAATAAAAATGGTTTTCATCTTTTAGCAACAACAAATGCAACAGCAGCAGCAACAACAGCAAGCTGCTGCTGCTCAACAGGCAGCACAACAAGCTAAACTTAAAGCGGAACTTAAACCACCATATACGGATACACCAGCCTTGCGACAACTTTCAGAATATGCTAGACCACATGTTGGTTTTAGGTAAGTTGGTTTTATACTTTTTATTGTAATATTTTTACAAGTGATCTTGCAATTGCAATTTTTAAATAGAATTGGATCTGAAAATCAATTGTCTTAAAATTTTAAACGACATATTCAATTATATCAGGAAACCCATTCCAACTGATAAACAAATGTTTCACTTAATATCTGTCCTATCACTGATTAGCCGAATTTCACAAAAATTTTTAGATTTTCAACAAAAATTATTTTTTTACTAAAATGTTTCTTTTAAATTAATTTTTTTATTTATAATTTTATTTTTATAAAAATTTTATTTTTTCAAAAAATAAAAAATATATGTTCCAGTGGAGTTTAGTTTTAGTTCTCGTTCTAATTCAGTTCTAGTTCCGTTCTAGTTCAATTCTAGTTCAACTCTAGTTCAGTTCTAGTTTAGTTCTTCTTTAGTTCTAGTTCAGTTTTAGTTCTGTTCTAGTTCAGTTTCTAGGTTCAGTTCTAGTTCAGTTTTAGTTCAGTTCTAGTTCAGTTCTAGTTCAGTCTAGTTCAGTTCTAATTCAGTTCTAGTTCAGTTTCTAGTTCAGTTCTAGTTCAGTTCTAGTCCAGTTCTAGTTCAGTTCTAGTTCAGTTCTAGTTCAGTTCTAGTTCAGTTCTAGTTCAGTTCTAGTTCAGTTCTAGTTCAGTTTCTAGTTCAGTTCAGTTCTAGTTCAGTTTTAGTTCGTTCTAGTTCAGTTCTAGTTCAGATCTAGTTAAGATCTAGTTCAGTTCTAGTTCAGTTCTAGTTCAGTTCTAGTTTAGTTCTAGTTCAGTTCTAGTTCAGTTCTAGTTCAGTTCTAGTTCGGTTCTAGTTCAGGTTCTAGTTCAGTTCTAGTTTCTAGTTCAGTTCTAGTTCAGTCTAGTTCAGTTCTAGTTCAGTTCTAGGTTCAGTTCTAGTTCAGTTCTAGTTCTAGTTTTCAGTTCTAGTTCAGATCTAGTTCAGATTCTATTCAGTTCTAGTTCAGTTTCTAGTTCAGATCTAGTTCAGTTCTAGTTCAGTTCTAGTTCAGTTCTAGTTCAGTTCTAGTTCAGTTCTAGTTCAGTTCTACGTTCAGTTCTAGTTCAGTTCTAGTTCAGTTCTAGTTCAGTTCTAGTTCAGTTTCTAGGTTCAGTTCTAGTTCAGTTCTAGTTCAGTTCTAGTTCAGTTCTAGTTCAGTTCTAGTTCAGTTCTAGTTCAGTTCTAGTTCAGTTCTAGTTCAGTTCTAGTTCAGTTCTAGTTTCAGTTCTAGTTCAGTTCTAGTTCAGTTCTAGTTCAGTTCTAGTTCAGTTCTAGTTCAGATCTAGGTCAGTTCTAGTTCAGTTCTATTCAGTTCAGTTCTAGTTCAGTTCTAATTCAGTTCTAATTCAATTCTAATTCAGTTCAGTTCTAGTTCGTTTCTATTCAGTTCTAGTTCAGGTTCTAGTTCAGTTCTAGTTCAGTTCTAGTTCAGTTCTAGTTCAGTTCTAGTTCAGTTCTAGTTCAGTTCTAGTTCAGTTCTAGTTCAGTTCTTTCAGTTCTAGTTCAGTTCTAGTTCAGTTCTAGTTCAGTTCTAGTTCAGTTCTAGTTCAGTTCTAGTTCAGTTCTAGTTCAGTTCTAGTTCAGTTCTAGTTCAGTTCTAGTTCAGTTCTAGTTCAGTTCTAGTTCAGTTCTAGTTCAGTTCTAGTTCAGTTCTAGTTCAGTTCTAGTTCAGTTCTAGTTCAGTTCTAGTTCAGTTCTAGTTCAGTTCTAGTTCAGTTCTAGTTCAGTTCTAGTTCAGTTCTAGTTCAGTTCTAGTTCAGTTCTAGTTCAGTTCTAGTTCAGTTCTAGTTCAGTTCTAGTTCAGTTCTAGTTCAGTTCTAGTTCAGTTCTAGTTCAGTTCTAGTTCAGTTCTAGTCAGTTCTAGTTCAGTTCTAGTTCAGTTCTAGTTCAGTTCTAGTTCAGTTCTAGTTCAGTTCTAGTTCAGTTCTAGTTCAGTTCTAGTTCAGTTCTAGTTCAGTTCTAGTTCAGTTCTAGTTCAGTTCTAGTTCAGTTCTAGTTCAGTTCTAGTTCAGTTCTAGTTCAGTTCTAGTTCAGTTCTAGTTCAGTTCTAGTTCAGTTCTAGTTCAGTTCTAGTTCAGTTCTAGTTCAGTTCTAGTTCAGTTCTAGTTCAGTTCTAGTTCAGTTCTAGTTCTAGTTCTAGTTCAGTTCTAGTTCAGTTCTAGTTCAGTTCTAGTTCTAGTTCAGTTCTAGTTCTAGTTCAGTTCTAGTTCAGTTCTAGTTCAGTTCTAGTTCAGTTCTAGTTCTAGTTCAGTTCTAGTTCAGTTCTAGTTCAGTTCTAGATCAGTTCTAGTTCTAGTTCAGTTCTAGTTCAGTTCTAGTTCTAGTTCAGTTCTAGTTCAGTTCTAGTACGGTTCTAGTCCAGTCCTAGTTTAGTTCAGTACTAGTACAGTTCTATTTCAATTCTAGTTCAGTTATATTTCAATTCTTGTTCAGTTCTAGTTTACATCTAGCTCTGGCTCTGTTCTAGCACTGTTCTAGTTCAATTCTAATTCTACATATATTTTAGTTCAGTTCTAGTTGTAGTTCCACTCTAGTTCACGTTTCGATGAGTTCTAATTCTAATTTACTTATTTCAAAATATATAACAATTTTTATCTCCTACAATAATCCTCTCCAAGGAAATAATTAAAAACCGAAATTAATATTTATACTGAATTTTTAATTATTTCAGCCCTGTTGAACAGATGGTACCCTATCATCATCCAATGGGGCCCATGTATAGTAGAGAAAGGTATTAATTAAATATTTTAAACAATATTTCAAACAATAACATATAT